GTAAGCCCCCGTAAATAAATGCCGGTCAGTGACTCATACATTTAAATGGAATTGTCAGGTGCAATAGTGAGCGTTCAATTTTGTGCACACTAAGATAAATTTCGTTCGGTCACTTTTCCTTGTAATTATGTTGGGATTTCGATAACTACGAGGTTCAAATCGTTCTTTAAACGGTGATTCACACTTTATGATTTTCACTGGCTTCATTCGACTGGCCATAAATAAGGACTATATTCTACATGCTTACCAAAATCTTTATAATAAGATATTTCTTAAAAGTATAAACCAAAATAATGAGTTTTTGAACATTCTTTCTTATGCAACTTTTTGTTTGGATCATGGTTTTAGCAGAATCCACACATGTCAACTCATTGCCGAGAAAAATGAACGTCCGCAACAAACGCCGCGAATGAATATGCGTAAGATTAATTAAAACAACTTCCTGAAACGATTTGCTTCATGAAAAACGCTTTAATTAGATATTTCGACGACGAATATCTGTGAATTTTACCTTTTTGCAGGTTAAGTCAAGATCAGAATGGAAAATGTTTGCCAGCTTTTTGACTTACCTAAAAATTAGGGATAAATCGTTTGCTAAAATTGAAAGAACTGACTTTTCTATGCATACTGGAGAAGCTTTTAGGATATTTTTTTACCTTCAGGCTCAATTCTTAGATAAAAAATGCAAAGAAGAGTGGCAGAATATCAACGGCGATTTAAAAATTATGATCTCTTGCCCTTTCCCTTTCATATTTTTATGTTAACTGATTCTGTTCTGTAGGCTGAAAATGTTTGGACACATTTTGCTTACGGCCTTATAGAAAAGATTGAGAGTTTTTATCGGGTGTTTGTATGTATTGTTGTTTATGGTCATCATTTTCGGTAGGGTGAAGCAAATTATAGTCTTATAAGCTTATTACTTAATTTGACTTAGCGGATTTGCAAAATAAAATTTTTGAATTTAATGCGCTCTCCTTTGCCCGACAATTATGTTTTATCTGCTAATTACATTTACCTCAATTTCATGAACGCAAAATAGAACTGATTGTTCTTTGATCCCATATGATTAAAAAGTTTCTGTTATTTTTTAATGTTATTTTATATCACAACACACAATAAGGAAGTTTTTTCCACAGCGTTTAATAGCATAGGAAATTCCTTGGATATAAAAAACATTGGATTTGTCCCGATTCCGCCCCTATATGTCCCAAGTATACTGATCTGAACTGAACACTTTTCTAGCAAACAGCCGTCTGCGCCTCAAGTCGACACAGTGAACAAAATAAACAACCTCCAATGTGTTAAATCCCCCACCCAAATTCTGATCTTCACGTTTCATCAGATGTGCAATTTACGGTACACCAAACATCCCGCGTCCTGGTAATGCCTATTCTAAAATAGTTTGTCATTTGTGCATTGCATGGCAACCGTTTTACTGTCCTCGTTATTGAAAACCACCTCGAAACATTTCAAGATTAGGCATACTACGCTTTCAGTCTTTTTTCTGCAAATTTGGGCTCGTGAAAGCTGGTTTTGTTAGGATGTTTACCACTCGCTTGCAAAAGGTCAGTTGCAGACTTTTCTCGATAATTCGTGTTTGCGTGTATGCAAAAGAGAGCTGGGTCAGAAATGCTCTCCTCCAGAAGAGCAGTTAATCAATGTCATCAGGGTTGAGCCCGCTCATATTCACGCAGTGTTCTGTAAGCCTAAATTCGACCATTTCTGTCTATTCTCTCTGAATATGCATTCTTCAAATTTATTGGGTAATTTCTCCATAAAAATGCTCCTTGTTGGTTTTTTTACAGGTCACTATCCCTCGAAGGCTGTAATCTGCAAGAGGTTTATCCTATAATGTTTTTGGTTATTATTTTGCTCTGCGTAAAGTTGCTCTTTTTAGTAACACTAATGCACAAAGTACAGGAGAACCCTTAAGTTAAATTGGAGAGTTGTTTCAGCTCGGAGCTGCCGTCTTAAAATACCCAAAACTTTCTGAATTTTGGCTGTTTAACTACTGCAGGCTTTTCGGCCGACTGACGCGACCTTTCAAAGCTCCGTCCTGAAGTCGATGCTTTGTATAAATTACGTGTTGGCACTTATGCCATCACCGAGTAATGACTAACCGAGGCGAGGATTGCCAGATTGCCTGTCGACAACTGATTGGTCAGGCCCAGTCAGCCGGCATGATTCCTCCAGATGATTCGCCCAAACGCCAACGTGGCCGTAACCTGGACGCGCGAACGGCAGTTACATTCCTAGTTGGCGTCGTATCAAGCTACCGCACCAGGGCAATAGTCAGCAAGGTAACAGAAGGACGTCACCACGAGAGGGCGAATACTACTAACTTCTCTGAAACTCTGAAGAAAGATCAGGTGGGCAAGCAACTTGAATATGTCATATGTTTTTAGAAATAAGTGAATATATTGACTTCTTTTGGGCAAAAACTTTCATTGTTGTTTCAAAATCCACTAGAACTAATCAATTTTTGATTATTGAAATTTCTGTCATGTTACTTCTATCCCAGCCACACAATAGCGGGACAGTCCACCATTCCACGATTTTAAAGTTTGAATGGAAATATTAAAAGTAAAGCGCGGTAAAGCGTTCACTCTGGGATCTACAGAATGTAACTAAATAATACGCATTCTCATCTAATTTCTTAAACTACTAATGATTTTATCTTGTATAATGGTTTTGCAAGCTACCTCAGCTCTTCTTCCATCTGCTTCAATAGATTTTCAAATGATTTGTCACAAAGATGACATGAAAACACACTTTACAGAAACATCCCGTTTAATGCTTGAATTAACTCAGACAAGTCGCCACGCATTTTAGAACCACTCATTTGCGGTACATTGGAAGGTATGCAGCCAAAAAATAAGTGTCAGTTTTCAAGACGTAAGCAGTTTGTAACTACGCAAACCTTAGACAAATACTATTCAATTTTTTCTGCCAACAGAAAGGTCTTAGACGCACTTTGGTCTTGAAACTTGTGCGAATTCATTGTCGTTCGAGCGGATAACAACTCCTGAAAAATAGGCCTGCTCATCGCATATTAGAATGTTGAGGTTAAACAAGAACTAACTGAGGGCAGCAGAAGGCCTAGAAGTAAAAGGAAAGACGCTCGGTTGCTGAAACATTTCGCTTAATGTTTTTGATCTAATCTTGAAACGTTCATTAAATACAGCAACAGCTAGGGCATGACAATACAGATTTGCGTTTGGCATCTGCTGCGTGGTCACATACCGATTTAAATTAATAGTTATCACACATATCAAAAATGTTGGTTCTCGCGAATGAGGTTTTCCCTCCAGCAATCGAATCTCATTCATTACTACTTTAATGATCTGCATTTTCAGAAATACTCATCCTAGTACCTCTGGACTTCGTTATTAATGTTAATAGAAGGTCTGCTTTCAACGTTTGCTTTCTATCAGGGCTATTGTTTATTATCTTCCTGGCAGATTCGGGTACGAACCCCGGACAGTGTTTTATATGCACCGTCAGAGGACAAGGTCATGAAAAATAGGGTATTGACTGAAGACAAAAAACTTGCGATGTAGTCCAAAAACCAATTCTTTATCTTTTCTCCTCTTGTGCTGATTCTACCACAAACAGCTACATAAATCGTTATAAAATGTTTCCATCAATGTTCACTTGTAAAACGACTGTCAAATTGTTGCAAGTGACATTATTCTGGACCTCAGCGTCGGGTGTTCATTCTCCTTAGTCCGAAAAGATGCATAGAAAGCCTTCAGATAACTTACATCCACGCATATGTGAATTTGTTACATCAAAACTCCTAACACGTGTGTTTTAATAAAACCTAGTTAATCTGATTTTTTCTCGTCGCTTAAGTTGTTTCTTGAGAATGCCAACTTCAATTCACCTAATTTATGAACTTTTTAGAACGCCAAATCACTGAGCATCTGTAAACGATAAGGCAGCACTTGGTCCTACAAATGACAATGGCTTCTACTGCACACAGCAATGGTAATTTACAGACCGTTACAGGGATGTCAAAAGGGACATTCCATTCTATTTACGAACCGAGCAAGCGCTGTAATTAGTTTTCCCTTTATATAATTGCTACATTTAGGGTTTTTTACATATTGGTTAACTATATCATTAGAAAAGCTCCCCTTTCCAAAGAGTTTTCCAGTAATGTGATTTAAATGCAACCCTAACTAGGAAAAGTATCATTATGAAGTCATGCAAATCACGGAAGCCGAACGAAATATTCTGAGTTTGCAGTCGGCATCACAATGGATGGCAGAGTAGCTTTCGCCAAGTTGCAAGTTGTGTAATGCTGAGATCACGAAGGTTTTGCTTTGTCCTTTCCTTCAGTAGTTTGATAATGGTAAAATAATAAGAATTTCGAAGTAACCATGAGGAGAGTGCATATCGTAGGCTAAACTGCTAGAGTTTAAAAATTCCTAAAGCTGAAAATCTTTCAGTCATGATTCCAGAAGGAAGTATGTGCCCAGAAGGAGTTTCGATTGCTCGCTGAAGTAAAACCCTCGGGAATTTGCTTCAGTGAGACCAAATGCACCTCTAGAGATTGGACTTCGATTGGAATCTCTTTGTTGTCAATAATTTCAACAATTTAAACCTGCTTACTGAAGGAAAATATTTTGAGCACAAAGACAAAGTCAGACAAAGCAGATATTTTCATAAAACGAGTATCAACTGTTGTATTTACATAATGCTATCTTCGGATGATAACCGCAGAGAAAGCAGAATTGTGAAACACCTTACACCTCTTAAAAGTTTTGATACCCATAAAATACCTGATTAAGGCCAGCGATCCTGTTTAAACGAGCTTAGAATAAATTATTAGCGAAAAAGAAGAAAAAGAAAATATGCTGATTCGCACAACAGAAGTTGAACAGGGTCACTACGGAGGTACGCAAATGCTTTTCTTCAGTAATCTCTTGAATATTCCTTCCGCAGAGAGTACACCAAAAATAGTCGTGCCATCATATATTTTAGGAATTTCGGAAATGCATAGCAATCTCGAGGAACTGAGAAAGGCTTTACCCCATGTTGACCTTGAAACCGGACTGAAACACCGAGGTAAGATACGTTTAAGTAATCCAATCTTAAAACGTTTTCGAAAAAAGAACCTAAGCAGTCACCATGTTTGTTGGTTAATATTCGGTGATTTTATTATTCCACAATGATAATGCAGTACAAGGCCTATATGAGGTTTACGCCCTTTAATACGTTTTGGTAGTTCACATAGATGTGCAAACCTCTAAGCTCAGGATATCTCGTCTATTAAAATGAAATTCCATATATACTGATACTAAAAATGTGTCTACTGGGAAAGCAATGAAGCGTCATGGGCATACATTTTCACTGTAGCACAGTGTATCAAATTGCCAAGACATCTATTATGTCTTAGATACGGTTTAATAATAATAATTTTGATCCACTTGTGGAAAACTTGGCGGCTTCGGTGGAATAAGATCCAAGGATACCACCCTGTTTAAAAAAGTAAGAGTAAGTGTACGGGATTTCTTAACGCTGGTGCCATTGGCTGCATACAGGGCCCTGCTATCGTGGGTTAGAATAGCACTGTAATCGTCGAGATTTTAAGAGTTGGATCAAATTTAAAAATTTAATGTCTAAATTCACAACAAGCAGCTAAAATGTAGCCAGTTTGTCATGCCTCAACTTGGTGGACTTAATCTGTTTTCCTTTTAAGTGGTAAAGCGCGACCCGATAACCGGTCTTGGGGAACTTCCCAAGGAACATTGTGATTTTGGTCGCCCGAAATCATCCAACGCCTCCCGCAAGAGTGAGTCCCACTAACGTCAGGAACTTGCATGAGACCCCCATAACCTCAGTTAGCCGGAAGTCACAGTTTGCTAGATGCTCGACGGTCTGCTTTCTTGCATATTTCGCAGCATACCCTTCACGTATTGTGAAGTCGTGACTGCATTTGCTTTCTAAAGGCCACATGTCTACCGCGGTTGCCTTGTCGTTTCTAATTATGCACGCACAAGTTGAATGCAATCGTCATTTTGGCCTGAATCTTGGATACCGTTTCATCATTTACTGGCTCGTTTTAGAGTTTAACAACGTTCTGCTGAGCTGGGATGCTGACACAGCAAAACCTCTGCCGGTGGAGAAGAATGGCGCAAAGGAACCGAAAAAAGCAAGTAAGGCAGTAAATTTTAATGAGTGTTTTATCTTAATTTTAAGCGCCACTTGCTGACGGTCTATATTGATTTAACCTTGTAGGAGATTATTATTCTTAAAATAGGCAGAAGGACATTACCAGCAAAGACATCGGACACCAGGAAGGCCTTTCTGCCTTATTAGGCGTCATCGGCTAGTGATGCCCAACCCCAGTGTGGCCGT